TATATATATATATATATATATATATTTAATTATACAATACATTATTTATTTATTTATTTATATACGTTATTATATATATATATACACAATTATTATTTTCAATTATTTTAAATATAAAATAAATAAATAACTAAATGTATTATATAATTAAAAAAATATTTACATTTATATTTTAAATATATAAAATATATATTTATATATTTTCATTTATTTTTACTTGATGTCCTAAACTAACAATAACTATACTATAGACATATAAAAAAAAATCATGAAAAAAACTGAAATAAAAAAACTGTAGAAAAAAATAAAAATAATAATTACAAAAACACACAACAAAATAAAAAATGGAAAATATAAAATTAAAAACTAATTCAAACCAATAATAAAAGCTAATAACAATAAAAAACACTTAATATTCCATGAAACCGAACCACACCAGGTTATTAATGACTAAAACCATAAAAAAAATATAAGTTAAAAAAAACTAGTTGGCAAGAAAACGTTTCTCATTATAATTTACTGTAGTTTATGTACTAAAATAACTAAAACTGAAATAAAAAATAATGAAAATTATATAGACATTAAAAAACACCGAAAAAATACAAAAACTTGAACCAAACTGAAAATTAAAAAAAAATATGCATATGAAGTACTAATCCATCATCTTTACAATTTAATTCATTATTTTACTACTTATACATTTTCTTCCTTAAACATTGCATTTATTTTACACTTATTGTTTGTGTGAAAGAACAAGAACAATATTATTCTGGTTTGTTGTTATTACATTATTGAGATATCAATCTTTTTATAGCCTATATATATATATATATATATATGAAGAGTTCAGATGCAAAAGCCTCTAAATGCCATTTGAAATTTTCTTCTTTAATGATGATTTTTATCAAACTTGTATATTTAAATTCAGTAATTTCACTTAAATAACAATTAATAGGTAATCATCATTGCCATTTAAGTGAAATCACTGAACTTAAATATACAAGCTTTATAAAAATGATCATTCTAGAAGAAAATTTCAAATGGCACTTAGAGGCTTTTGCATCTGAACTCTTCATATATATATATATATATATATATAGGCTATAAAAAGATTGATATCTCAATAATGCTAATAGCAACAAACCAGAATAATATTGTTCTTGTTCTTTCACACAAACAATAAGTGTAAAATAAATGCAATGTTTAAGGAAGAAAATGTATAAGTAGTAAAATAATGAATTAAATTGTAAAGATGATTGATTAGTACTCATTAAAGCAGAAGCTCTGTGGGACATGTTCATTCCCAGAAAGAGAAATAAACATTCTTTTAAAATAAAATAATAAAGCTTCACATAATGAAGAAAATCTCCAAAATCTCTAAACGTTCACAAAAACAACTACATCTTTTACGAGCACTTCCGAGTCAGGTTCCAGGAAAGCTCTTTATGACATGTTCAGTTTCCCCTCCAGAAACTCATTTTATATTTCATAAAGTGTATTGATATCAACAGGAACTGGCGGCTGCAGGCCAACACATTAGTCTCTTAAAGTTGGAGTTGTTCATCTGGGAATGTTATATCCACACATGGCGTTCTCAGTGGGAAACACACACACTTGATCTGTGTGAGCGAGGCCAACTGCGAAACTCCTGTCTAGATAAGACGATAACTGATCATCGGGACGGAGAAACACACGACTGAAGAGGGAAACCACACACTGGGGTTAAAGGTCAGATGCTGGACATGTTACTGCATCTCACACACACTTATGGGACTCGCAAAAGCGATTCATCAAACGTAATCAGTAAAAGAATGAAGTACACACAAGTCATTATTTTACTTGCAAACCCATGAGATCAAAAATACACATTAAACTCGAATATCTTGCAAAAGTTCATTAACTCAACTTAAGGTGAAACTAATATATTATATAGACTCATTACATGCAAAGTGAGATATTTCAAGCCTTTATTTATTATAATTTTGATGATTATGGATTACAGATATGAAAACCCCAAATTCAAGCCATATGTAAGCCATAATCATCAAAATTATTACAAATAAAGGCTTGAAATATCTCACTTTGTCTATATAATATATTAGTTTCACCTTTTAAGCTGAATTATTTTAAATTCTAATAATTTCACAGTTTTTTTTGTTTTTTTGTTTGATATATACATACACACAACAGCCCATTCCATGCATTCCAGTTATAAAAAGGGGAACGTAAAACGTTAGAATTATTATTATTATTTTAAGAGATGTATTACTCACAACAGAGTTTCAGAAACACAGAGGCTCAAAGAGAGGAAATTGAATTACTGTAGGAACGACAAACAGACATTTGAGAGGATCTGTCGCATCTGCTCGTGATCAGGGCTAACGTCTCCTGATTGGCTGAGACACTCCTGTCAATCAAACCATCAGTGGGCGTGACTTCATCCAAGCAAACTGTAAACGCCATAACTCGCTGTTTAACGATCATAGTCCGACACATCGCTGAAGAAATCCACTCGTCGCGACTCTTTCCCGAAACTATACTGTCCGAATCGGTCGTTCAACCGCTCGGTCGTTAATGATGTCACACGTTTGAAATAATAATACTGTTAATGAATTTATTTGAGACTGAATAAATGCTGGATGTTTTGCTATAAATTACACGTCACACACGTCATCTGAGGAATATTTCTAATTTCTCTTATATTTTTCCAGATTCACTCATAGACTCGTTCACACACACTCGAGACACACACACACACACACACAACATTTGTGTGTATTGTAAAAATAAGATATAGATCGTCCTGAATGTCAGCTTGATTATTCTGCTCAAGATCACACTGTAAAAAATGATCGTGATTTTAACAGTAAAAGACTGTAAAAATGCTACAGTGAAAAACTGTTAATTGGTTAACAGAACCTTTCCTTACTATATACGGTAAATAACTGTGATAGATCTTATGGTAAATTTCATGTAATTTTACTGTAAAATAATGTTAAATTTACCGTTTTTAAAGTGAAAATGAACAAAGCATCGTATAATTTACAGTAAAAAAACGTAAATTGACGTTCCCACAATTCCCTGCGTGACACTCCACACTTGATGTATTTTTAGTTTAAATAACTTGTTTCTTCATAGTTTTCTTAGTCTTTTTCTAATCAGTTAGGTACATTAGGGTTTTATGTGACATTTAATGTTGTTAAGTTAATGTTTATTGCCTTTTTAAAATTTCATGTGTTACCATGATGGTGTTTAATGTTTGAGACTGTGCCGCTTCTATATGTTAATATTAATATTGTGATGAGTTTCCATATATCATGTGACTCTCATTACTGCTGTGATTGATGGATGTCAGTTTATTACAATGGTATAAAACAGATATTAACACTTCAGATGGTCGATAAATTTAACACTATATCAGATAATTAAATACGGTTTATTTCCGTAAATTATAAGTTAAGCCTGTAAAACCTTATTACCGTAAATTCTTGCTACTGTATTTTATACGGTAAATTTCTGGCAACCACAGCTGCCGGTATTTTACCGTAAATTGAACACATTTTTATTTACAGTGCAGGATTTACTGAGTCAACATGTCATGAAATCACGAAACTCTTCTTCTAACCGAAGAGATCTGTCGCTCACACACACTATCGGTCAACATATCGGTATTGGCCGATAAATGTTCATTTTTAATGTTATCATTATTGGCCTGATAATAAAATGAGTCTGATATATTAAAGCTGATTAATAATGTATTGCTTCAGATGCGCACTGATCAACACGATGATTATGAATTACGTGAAATGTGATTGAAATCACATAATCGCATAAACTGCAACGTGTGCAGCGCAAGTCCGTCATATCGGCTACATAAAATAATAATGAGAACATCATAATTGTGTGTTTGGGGCGTGGCCTTTAACATTGAGGCTTTTATTTTTGTAATCAGACACTCAAAAATTATATAAAATATGGATTTAGATTATCGTCCGATATATCGGTTATCGGCTTTCAAATATAAAGAATTATCGGTTATCAGTATCGGCCAAAAAAGTCATATCGGTGCATCCCTACTTTGCAAAGATGTTTGCGAATGTTCGTTAATTTATTTGTAATCATCAGTTAATTCACTGTAAATGTGCACAAACTAACAACGAACAATCAAACAATTAAAAAAAATAAAACTGTCGTGTTCACTGTCAGTTCACGTTAGCTAATGCATTAAGTAATGTTAACAACAAATAAGACCTTGTTGTAACGCTTTAATAATATAATATAATATGCCCAACCCGATCTCACGGGAATTCGTACGAATTTTACGAAGTGGCTAATTCGTAACAATTCATACGACCTCACTCGTACAAATTAGTACGATTTTGCTAAATCGTACATATTTTACGAATTGGCCAATTCGTATGAATTCGTACGAATGACCTACCCCTGACCCCGCCCCTAAACCTAATCACGTGGGTTTAGGCCAGAGATGGGACCAAGTCACACATGTGCAAGTCTCAAGTAAGTCTCAAGTCTTTACCGTCAAGTCTCAAGTAAGTCCCAAGTATTTTTTGGGGGGGCAAGTCAAGTCAAGTCAAGTCACAGGCTATGTCAAGTCAAGTCAAGTCAAGTCTTGTAGTAGGTCAAGTCAAGTGCAAGTCAAGTCACCTTATTATTGTAATTTTACATGCAGAATCTGATCTTAATAAAGTGAAAAGACAAGATAAGTATTTGCCAGTAAATTACAATAATTTGGATTTGCATTGTAAATACTCATGTTCAGTAAAATACATCATGGAATCAAACTAAATTTTAACTTCATAAAATAATTTATTTTTCACTTCTGCCAACAGTTTTTGAAATGTTTTACATTTTCAGCAATTTGAAATGTTTTAAATGTTTTAAATGTATCAGCAATGGCGGGGTAACATCACTTCTGTTGATGTTCAAACAAAACAGAGAGCTAGCTGGCTACTCCCTCCCGTCCCATGCAATTGAAACTCTTCTAAACGTGCATCTATGGGTATCAGTTTGGTTTGAAATGGACAGAGGCGCATTCAGAAGTGTATTTGGGTACAATGACGCATTCATTTACTAGCTTACTGATTTAAAGAAATAAAAATGTATACAAAAATGAGATGATGTCCTGACTTGTTTTATGAAAAAAGCCTTAAGTTTTCAAAAAGCATTAGACATTACTCACTTACTCCCAGTAATTACTCCCAGTCAAGTTTGATAAAAATAAATGTTTAGTATATTTTTATTATTAAAATGCATTTAAGAAAATATATTAATATAAACCTGATTTATTGTTGACTGGTGTGTGTGTTTAAAATTTGTTTTCAGAATAAAATGGAACTGTTCAAGCAAATTGTAGAAATCCTCCCTCCGGAACGTTATAGGCAGTAAAACATGTTATGGGTAGATTATGTGGTAATGCATCTCCGAAATGGGACATAATTTAACCCAGATATTTTTTCACAAGACAGAACACATGTCATAAAGCCCATTACAAGTCTTAACTCATTTTTGACCAAATGTGTAGTTACTGCGCTTTGCCTTTGTAGGGCAGTATTGCTATGGGGTTCCTACAGGAAAACTGAACTCCCTGAGCTTCTTCCTGTATTCGCGAAGTTGACTGTGTGTATAAAATAACTTCTTATTAAACTGTATGGACACTCTGACAAAGTTCTCAATGCTTCGTTTTGAATGTAGGGACACTTATTATGTTAGTGTGGGGCTATTTTGAGCCTTGTGGTAATAACAAGCGATTTTTATTTGTCATTACTCTATGCCCTATACTACCGTTATACTAGCGTTATAGGCTAAACTGTTTTTATAGATTAAACTATTTACATTCGGCAATCATGAAAACAAATCTCAGATAACGGTTGACTAGGTAACAATGTGTAATTTTGCGCCGGTGTTCTCCTTTAACTTACATTAGCTAGCTAACTACGAACGAGCTAACCAGATAACATTAACAAATTGACAAGCACTTACTGGGCAGAATATGGCTCTTCAAATGACGGACGAAATTGGAGGTTGTCGTCTGGCTGTCTGCGATCTTAACGTTGCATGTCTTGCAAAGCGCTATTCTTTTGCCATCTTGTTTTGAGAAATTCTTTAAATCGAAAGCAACGACCCTCGGTATCCCTCCGGCTGACATGTTGATGTGATCTGATGTAAGTGGGCGTGGTGTGCGTAAGGTATGAGAGGGCATGACTGATGATCTCGTGATCCAGTCATGACAGCGCTATTCTCAGCCTGCACTCCAGCTGGATCAACTTTATTTTTTTTACATAATTTATATATTTTATATTTAAACTGAAAACATGATGTGATTAACACTCAAGTCATTCAAGTCATCGTGTCTCAAGTCAAGTCAAGTCCCGAGTCTTTAACTTCCAAGTCCGAGTCAAGTCTCAAGTATTTTATTTTTTGTCAAGTCAAGTCACAAGTCATAAAAATAGCGACTCGAGTCGACTCGAGTCCAAGTCACCAAGTCACAAGTCCCCATGTCTGGTTTAGGCAAATCGTATGAATTCGTACGAATTAGCCACTTTTTAATCACTCGTACGAATTCGTACGAATTGGTCGTGAGATAGGGTAGAATATGTCTATACACAGTTCTAGCTATACTCTGCTAAAATAACTTTTTAGCTTGAAAATAAATCACAATATGACACAATGTGTCCCACAAAACGATTGATTTTCCTCCTGAAGTCAAATCTTCTACGAGAGCCGAACGCAACAGCAAACGCTGCTCTCGGCTTCATTTCATCATCAAGCTCTAAATCACACGATGCCAGATCACCAAAGACCGAAAACAAGTGTGTGTTCTCCGGGTTTGGAGCGAAGAGAAACCTGACATCTGTGTGGATTCAAACAGCTGGAAGTGTTCGACACACTCCTCCACATCTGCCAGAGACACATGTTGGGAATGGAAGGAACATTCCAGACATCAAAAACCATTAATCATGATTTTCAATGCAAACTGTTTTAAAGGCAAGATGAAGAGAGAAGAGGGGGGGGGGGGGTCTTCTGATCCCATAATGCACTGCAGTATCGGCACAAGAAACACGTCAACTACTGTGACCAATCCTGAACACACAAGACCAGCCTGACTACACACTGACACATAACACACAAATAACACAAATAGATAAATAAAGGAATATATATATATATATAAAGAATATATGTTTAATAAGATATAAATTATATATATATAATAGATTTAAATTACATATAAATTTTATATTATATTAAATTATACAGTAAATACATATGCACATTTATATTTATTTATATATATATATATTACTATATATTAATCACTGGTTAATTATTTTATAATAAATAAGTAATAAAAAAATAGGTACACTCCCAGAAAAAAAGGTAGAAAAGATGTCACTGGGGCTGTACCTTTTCAAATGGTAAACTTTTGTCCATATGTGGTGCTA